TGGGACCTCTTGGGGAATGTTGGAGAGCTGGTTTTGGCCCAATCCCCGCAGGCCAGGCTGAAGGACCCCACCGGTGCACAGATCTGTGCACCAGGCCTCTAGTATGCATATAAGATCTTTGGTTAATCTATCCCTGCCTTTCCCCCTACCCACTTCCGTCTGAGATTCATCAGTTTGTTCCATGTCTCCATGCCTGTGTGTTAAGCATCTGCCCCCTGGTGGTCAATGTGTATCACAGTTACCAGCTGGTCATCCAGTCGCCTTAGGGTTTCATATATACAGATTTCCTACTTTAAAGAATGACAGTGTCAGTAGACAGCATAGGAATTTTGTGAATTTCCTAGACATACAGAAACCTGAAAGGCCTTTATTGAGTATATCAGTAAACTTTTAAGGTGCTGTGTGGATAATGCCCCTTCCTATACCTGCCCATCTTTATTAAGAAATTAAGTAATGCTGGTTGTTCTTGAATATTCTCCAAGTATGTTTAAATACACTTAAATAGATCTTTTAAGTCTCTTTTTATTTCTTTATCTTTTATTGAGCCATCTCCTGAATGTGTGCATTTTGATCTATTCCTGTTCTCCTTTCATAGCCGTGTGAGCAAGGACGCCGTATGAAGCGGATCCACGCTGTGGCTAACATCGGCACCGCGCTGAAGTTCCTTGAAGGAAGGAGGGTAAGAGAGGCAAAACCAAAACACCTGAAGAAGGCGTGGGCATACAGATGTTTTCAATATTGGCTGCAGAGTGAAAACTCTGCATGTGAGCTACACACACATGCAGTATTATTGTAAAAATAATTTTAGATTTACAGAAAAGTGGCAAAAAGGGGTACAACGATTTCATGTCTACGCTTCATGCACCTCCCTCTAACAACTTATACATAGTACATTACAGAGTACAGTTATCAAAATACGGAACTTCACGTTGGTCTGATGCTATGGACTAAAACCATAGACATTAGTCTGATTTCATCCGTTTTCCTCCAGTGTCTTATTTCTCTTCAGGATACAATGAGTCACACACCTTGCATTTGACCCTTTGTCCCTTCCACTCTATGGCACTTGTTCATTCTTTCCTAGTCTTTCATAACTTTGACACTTTTGATAACTGGGGGGTGAGTTATCTTGAAAAGTGCTTCTCAATTTTATGATTATATTGAAGTGATGCATATTTTGTAAGAATTCCAAGGAGGTGATATATTTTTGTCTGCGCATCATATTAGTGGATATAGGATACTGATAGGTCTCATTGCTGGTCATGTTAATCCTGATCAATGGTAAGGACATTTGCTGTGTTTCTTTTATGGTAAAATTATTATTTTCTCTTTATATTATAACTGAGAAAGAACTTAAGGGAGGTCATTGACATCAGGCTAATATTCTGTTGATTCTTAAATTTTGCTCACTAATTTTAGCATTGATTACCTTCGGTAATTATTTCTGTGCTGTTTGCCTAATGGTGATTTTATATTTCCCTCATTTGTAATGTAAGAAATTATTTTCTTTTTTCCTCCAATTATTTATTCAGTTACTTATTTTAGCACAAACTTGGGGATATTTATTTTATTCTATAGTTTTAATTTATTAGTTTGTTCAAATTTTGGCCATTAAGCTTCTTCAGTCTGGCTCCTGCGTATCTTGTATTTTCCATGCCCCAGTCCTTCTCTAAGGAAGCTTGGGTCTTTTTATTAGCAAAGGGCATTTAGAAACCCAGATTTGAGTAGTAGGTGTACTCATTGCTACTGAGGTTTCACTGCTCCTAGACCTCCCAACAAACAGATCTAGAAAATATGTGTACTAACCTGGGGATATCTCTCATGCGCGCTCACTCACTTCTCCCATATACATGTGTATCAACCATTGTTTCAAACTGATACTTCTATATACATGTGCATAAACCATTATTTCAAACTGATATTTCAACTCAGCACCACAGGTTCATTCTAGTTTTCCATGGGTGTTTGTTTCTGCTTTCTCTTACAATGAGAATCTGGCTGTCATCTACAATATACTCACTTATTTTTCAACCCTCTTATGCACATAAAATAGTTTCCGAATTGCTGACCCATGTCCCTGTGAGAAACAGATTGACTAAGTAACTGGAGAACAGTATTTGCGTGCAGTTCGTTTGGTCCTTATCATTACAATATCCAGTCCAAAGACTGCTTCTAAATTTACTTAGGTTGCTTCGGTTCTTCCTGTCCCTTTTAGTGTTACTCATTGAAATAGAGTTATATCCCATTTTTTAGAACCTCCCCCCAACACACACATTCTAGTTGACTAATTTTGGGGCGGGGAAGGGGTTGGAATGAGATCATTACTATGATTCTATTAGTAAGAGCAAAAGTTATACTTAGAGAAGTGCCTTCCCCATCCTTCCTTCTCCATTATCATTCTTTCCCTTGCATTTCCTTTCACATGTCTAGGTAACTAGTCTCTCTAGCTTCTCATTCATCATGCTTGCATTTCTTTTGCACAGATGAGCAGATGTTTCTTCATATACCACCTTCTTTTTGACATAAGGGGAGTGTGCTCTTGATGTACTCTCACACTTTGCTTTTTAAATTTAACAGCATATCCTGGAAACCATCCGAGTCAGTTCATGGACAGCTTCCTCATTCATCTTCGCAACTGCATAGTATTCTATGGCCTGGATGCACCAGAGTTTATTTAACCACTCCCCCTATGAATGAGCACTTAGGTTACTTCTAATGTCATTCAAACAGAAACAGTGATGCAATTAATAAAACAGCTAATGAAATTGTGGCTGAGAATTATTGAGCTAGAAGTTTAAGAAGTACTTTATTATTAATTTTGGTCTTTGTTTAGAGTTATGAAAAGGATAAGTAGTTCTAATTGTATTCTATGGTGATTGACCGACATAAAATTCATTTTGCTAGGACTGAGGAAATAATTTTTTTAACATGTGTCTGGAATAGTTTATAATTATCAATGCCCCAAATAGGGAACTAAACACTACCAGTCTCTTTCTACTTTACTACTTCTTGGCTTTCATTTGTCTTTAAAGTGTATTCTGCAAATAATGCTCTAAATTTACTTCCTACATTTTTATTCCCTTTGAACAAAGAATGCTGGTTTTCAAAGATTATTTTTTTGTATATATCATCTTCTCCCTTTGCCTTTCATGTCAGTCCATGTACAGAGGATCACCGGTTAGTACAAATTTTAGAATTTTTAACTCCTGACTTTTATAGGTAAAAGAGAACATAAGTTTCATGCTATTTGGTAACAAACTTCAAAGTAAGTGCATCTTCTTAAATTATTCATCACAGTTTCTTTTAAGTTCCAGTCAAGTTTTGAATGTAACGGATAACCTTTTCTTTTCTTTTTTTTCTGTCTGGTATTTTGTTGGTAATCCCTTGCATGATGTCATATTTTTCAATTTAAAGTTTTTAATTTCATTTTGTGGTTAATTTTATTGTGTGCACCTAATGAATGCTCCTGAAATTCCCACTGAAACCATGTGTTTGTTGCTTTTGTTATGGCTCACCCTACTTACTTGTGTGTATCACTACACAGGCATGACCAAGTCCTATT